GAATAAGTATAGTTGGTTCAATGGTGACGGTAGATCTATGAGTCGAATAGATTATTTTCTTTTATCGAGTTCTCTGATTAACAGGTGGAGCATAGCGTGACAATCTATTGGTAAAAGAGATATTTCAGACCATTGTCTGATTTGGCTTGTGATTAACAAAGCTAACTGGGGCCCCAATCCGTTTAGAGTTAATGATAGTTGGTTCGATAATAAGGAGTTTTTGTCGTTTATAGAGAATGTATGGAGAAATATCAGGATTGAAGGTAGAAGTGATTACATCTTGAAAGAGAAGCTTAGGATTTTGAAAAGTCACGTATGTAAATGGAACACCGAGGTTTTTGGCAAGATAGATCTAGAAATTGAAGAGGGTGTAGAAGAATTAATGAGGCATGATTACTGTTAGGGGACTGTGATGAGAATTTGATAGAAGGCTTGGTTCAAGCCAGAAGCAATACTTCCTGCAAGTTTTAGCAGGATCTGAGAATCAAGGAAAATATGATGCTTCAAAAGTCTAGACTGTAGTGGGATAGGAAGGGGGCCAGAATTGCAAATTTTTCATGATGTCTTGAATAACAGAAGAAGGAGGAAATTCATTGGTTATTTACAAACCAGTCATGGCCAGGCGGATGGAGTGGAGGACGTTAAGGATGAAGTTTTTATGCATTTCTCTGAGGCATATATAGAACATGATCAGGACCGACCTACCCCTAATGGTATCAGTTTCAACAGATTTTCTGCTGATGAGGGATTGCAATTAGAAGTGGAGTTTTCAGATAATGAAATAAAGAATAATTTTTGGAGTTGTGATGGTACGAAGAGCCCGGGCCCGACAAATTCAACTTTTTTTTTCTGAGAAAATGTTGGGATATCATTAAAGAGGATGTCTTCCGCTGCTTTAAATACTTTCACGGGAAGCCAACTCTCTGGAAGGTAATTAATTCTTCTTTTCTCACTCTGATTCCGAAGACTGATAACCTGATGAGCCTGAATGAGTATCGCTCGATTTGCTTGGTCGACTGTATTTACAAAGCTCTTTCAAAGTTATTGGTAGCCAGATTGAAAAAAGTTCTTAGTTTCATTATTTCTCCTTGCCAAACAACCTTTGTTCCAAGAAGGCAATTAATTGAAGGAGTGTTGGTGGCAAATGAAGTCGTGGATCTCGCAGAAAAGGAAAAGACACGGTGTATGCTTTTTAAGGTCAACTTTGAAAAAGCGTATGACAAAGTCAGTTGGAAGCATCTTATTTATATGATGAAAATAATGGGGTTTGGAGATATTTGGTTGAAGTGGATTGAGTCTTTGATATTTACCAGTTTTATGTTGATCCTTGTCAATGGAAGCTCGACTAGGGAATTTAAAGTGGGAAAGGGTCTTAGACAAGGAGATCCGCTTTTCCCCGTTTTATTTGTCATTGTTGCAGAAGGTCTAACCGACTTAGTCAGAAGATCGATTTATAACGATTATTATTCCAGTTTTCATGTTAAAGATATATGTGTTATGGATATTCTATAATTTGCTGATGATACACTTCTAGTTGGAGATGGTAGTTGGAAAAACCTTTGGGCTCTCAAATTGGTGCTTATAGAATTTGAAGTGATTTCAAGGCTCGAAGTAAATTACATGAAAAGCAAGCTTTAACTTTTCGGATGCTGCTCCTAACTTTCTCTCTTACAGGTTAGAAGGAAGAAATTTCAGTTTTCTTGGAATTCCGACCAGGATGAATCCTAGACGTATCTCATCGTGGAACTTTCTACTTCATGGTTTGGAAAAACGTCTCTCTAGATGGAAAGGAAGAATTTTGAGCCTTGGTGGGAGAATCACATTACTAAAATCGGTTTGGAGCAGCCTCCTTGTATTTTTGTTTTCTTTTTATAGAGAACCTATCAAAGTTTACAAAGTAATCACTCGACTTCAAAATAACTTTCTGTGGGGAGATGAAGACGGTAGGAGAAAGGTACATTGGGTTGGATGGGAACATTTATGTTCTTTTTATTGGACCATCTGTATACTTCAACTCATTTATGCAATTTAGTTAGATGAATATCATATAAATTGGATCACTAACTAAAATTAATTGTATTTAAATAATTCAAATTGACCTGGTAAATAATATTCCTTCCACACAACTCAATAATTATAATACATACTTAAAAAATATGGGGAGGACGACCACCAAAGGTGGTGTCGACGCCGTCATCATCAATCAGCAACAATGATGATGATACACCATCTAAAACCAACGAGAATGCAACCAAAACACCCTTTCAACATGAAGCAGAAGAGGCAACAAAGGAGATTATGGAAGAACAGGGGAATAGCGAATCCGGAACCCTAATTTCACCAAAAGGGGCAACAGAACCTAGAAGACTATGGGTCGACGTTATAAGTGGAAATCGAAATCTTGGAAACGGGTTAACACTGGAATTCATCGCACCAACGATTATCAATGGTATTGCAGAGGTACGTATTAAAGAAGCAGACACTGTACAAGAGGTGAAATTCTGGGGGACGACATTGATCATGTATGTAATGGGAGGAGATCTAAGTATGAACATGGTCAAATAATTCATGTTAAAACAATGGAATTTCGTCAAATTGCCTGACATGTATTAACAATGAAGGATATTTTGTATTGAGATTTCATTCACACAAGAAGAGGGATGATGTACTCGTGAAAGGGCCTTACAGCATACGCAATATGCCGATGTTGTTAGTTGAATGGAAACCAAACTTCAACTTGAAGAATGATATGTTGCGTACAATCCCGATGTGGATTCAACTTTCTCAACTGCCTCTGCACCTATGGGGAGCAAAAAATTTGGGGAAGATAGCGAGTGTGCTGGGAACCCCTTTGATGACTGATGAATGCACCGCTAATAGGTATCGTATCTCATATGCTAGAGTGCTAGTAGAGATCGATATTACACAAGAACTCATTGTTGAAATCACTATAACAGACGAGAAAGGGGAGAAGATGCAACAACGGGTAGAATATGAATGGAGGCCTCCATACTGCACAAAATGTCAGCGGATTGGGCACAAATGTGATGAGAAGCAGCTAAAGAACCCAATCAAGAAGTGGATCCCCAAAGAGAAGAAACACCAAGATGAGAGAGTGGCTGCTAAGGAAGTGGAGAGCTTGAAGACACCAACACAACAAATAACAGTACAGGAACCACCTAAATCTAGAGCAACCGTGCAACTGACGAACAGAAAACAAACAGGTACAGATGAAGATATGGCATGGACAGAGGTGAAGAGAAAAGATAAAGATAAGGCTAATGGTATTGATACCGGTACCAGTCCAAAAATCATGAATCCAACAAAGAATTACGGGAACTTTTATGCAGCACTCGGGGATGGTTCAGCCTCGGTGTTCCTAGAAGATGTCCCATGATCATCTCTTGGAACATTAGAGGGCTGAATAAAGCAGGCAAAGTTAGGGAAATCAACTATCGTCTCCAAAAACTAACCCCTGCAATCTCTGTTTTAATCGAGACAAGAGTTAAGGCGAAGAATGCAGTTTGTATTCGACGAAAACTGAGATTACAAGGCAACTATATAGATAACTACTCAAACCATGAAAATGGGAGAATATGGATCCATTGGGATGATAATAGAAGAAACATGGCCCTGGTGGAAAGCACAGATCAATTGGTTCATTGTAAGGTCAATGATGTCAATGGCAATTTCCTGTTTTGGATGACAACCATTTATGCACAAAACCAACTGCAGCGCAGGAAGGAATTGTGGCGTGACATAGAAAAGATTAATGCACAGCAAAATGAACCCCAGTATTTCAGACCATGTTATGCTTGTATTACACGATGATATTGAAGTTCAGCAGCCTAGCAAAGGATTCAGATTCGTTAACTGCTGCGCAAACTTGGATAATTTTCAGGAAGTTGTTAAGAATAACTGGGATATGCCGCTAGAAGGAAGACCAATGTATGTTATATGGAAGAAATTGCAAAGGCTACAACCCTACATCAGGAAATTGAGCAAACCGTTGGCTGAGATTCACAAAGAAATTGCTCGAGCTCGTGATGATCTGAACAAGGCGCAGGATAATTTAATGACAGATAGATTGGATGCAGACAAGATTAATGTGGTTAAAAAATGTTCTGATAATCTTATTAGTCTGCAGGAATTGGATGATAGTATGGTGCATCAACGAGCAAAAGTTGACTGGCTACGACTTAGTGACGGTAACAACAAATATTTTCATGCATCTATAAAGATGTGACAGCAGCTTAAAAACATGACAAAAATTCAAATTATAGATGGAACCATTGTTACATATCAACAAGGAATGGAAAATGAAGTAATCACATTCTACAGGAATCTGATGGGTACAAAACTCAACCAACTTGAAGGCATTGATACAGCAGCAATGAGGAAAGGCAGACAATTGGAAACTGCGCAGAGGGATATGCTGACGAGTCATATAACCGAAGACGAAATCACCATAGCTCTCAAAGGCATTGGAAATGATAAGGCACCTGGTATCGATGGGTTTGGAGCTTATTTTTACAAGAAAGCCTGGAACATCATCAAACTAGATGTTATAGTAGCTGTGCAGGATTTCTTCAAGCATAACCGTATGTGCAAAGCTGCTAACTGCTCTGCTGTCACGCTTATTCCGAAGCACAAGGGAGTGAAAGAGATGCAAGACTATCGACCTATTGCATGTTGTAGTACACTATACAAAATCATATCCAAGATTTTGGCCAACCGACTCAGCAAAGTACTCGGTACGATAATAGGTGCAAATCAAGCAGCATTTGTCAAAGGGCAGAAAATTCACAACCATATCCTACTCACGTATGAATTGATTAAGGGATACGAAAGGAGGAATATAGGGATACGAAAGGAGGAATATATCTCCCTGATGTTTAATGCAAATGGACATTCAAAAAGCGTATGATACGGTTGACTAGAAGGCGCTTGGAAATATTTTGAATGAGGTAGGCTGCCCACAACAGTTCACTAAATGTGTGATGACAATGGTTTCCACTATTTCTTATAGATTTAACGTCAATGGCCATCTAACTGACGTCATGGAAGCGAAACGGGGGCTTAGACAAGGCGATCCGATATCACCTATGCTGTTTGTCATTGTAATGGAATGCTTGAACATATACTTATACAAGATGCAGGAAGATTGTGAATTCAATTATCACCCTAAATGCGATAAATTGCAAATCACAAACCTTTGCTTTGCGGACGACTTACTTATGTTTTCCAGGGGAGATAAGATTTCGGTTGAAATGATGATGAAGACTTATGGGAAATTTTCGAAGGCTAAAGGGCTTACAATAAATCCACAGAAGTGTCGAATCTACTGTGCTGGCATGGATGAGATGACAAAGCAGAATCTTACTAAAGCCTCGGGGTTCCAAGAAGGGAGACTGCCTTTTAAGTATCTAGGGGTTCCCGTAACAGGTAAAAAACTCTCTATTCGCCATTATGCATCGTTAATAGATAAGATCGCAAGCAAGATAAAACATTGGACTGCTCGGTTACTGACCTACGCGGGGAGGCTTCAACTCATTAATTGTGTTATATTTGCGATGACTAATTACTGGCTCACTTGTTTCCCTTTCCCCAAAGCTGTGCTACAGAAAATTGAATCGATTTGTCGCATCTTCCTCTGGACAGGAGGTGTGGAGGGAAGCTGTAAAGCACCAGTAGCGTGGAAACAAATTTGTAGTCCACGAAGTCATGGCGGATTAAATGTCGTAGACATTGAAGTTTGGAATAAAACAACTCTTATGAAGCTGCTTTGGAACTTAAGTGGAAAGGAAGATTCGCTTTGGGTTAAATGGGTACAAACGTATCATCTCAAAAACAACGATATGATGGAGATCCAGTGTAAACAGAATGATTCCTGGATAATGAAAAGTATACTCAATCTTAGGGAGGAATTTAATAACTTGCGCAATCGGGAAGACCTCAAAATAGGGGGAAATCAGTATGAGAAAACTGTATGCGGAACTACATGATTGTGGGCAACCGTTGGAATGGAAGAATTTGGTTTATGGGAATAACGCGAGACCGAGAGCCAATTTCATGTTGCGGCTTGCTTGCCATGGGAGATTAGCAACGAGAGATAGATTGCATAAATATGGTTTGATTGATGATACTGAGTGTTGCTTCTGTGCGAAGGAAGAAACTTTAAACCATCTATTTTTTTAGTGTGATAGTTTAAAGAACGTATGGACTGAGATCCTAAGTTGGGCACAAATTAACCATACCCCTGGAAGTTGGCATAGCGAGATGAAGTGGCTTATTTAACATACCAAAGGTAAAGGAGTCCGAACTGCAGTCATAAAAAATGGCAATTTCTGAAACCATTTATGAGATATGGAAAGCTAGAAATAATAGAATTTTTGGAGACAAGACTGAGATCAACACAATAGGTAGGAAGATAATAGATACTTTGGTGTATAGAGGATGGAACACTAAAAAACTCAGAAAGTATATAGCTATCTTAATTATAGAGGGGGATATATAGATAGTTAGTTGTCCTTCATTTTTTTTGGTCCTAGGAAAATATTTTAATGACATGACAATATTTAATAGAATATTTTTTTAATTATTAGTTTTTATATAATAAATTAATAATTAATTTTTTTAATTAATTTTTTAAAAAGATTTAATTAATACAAAATTTAAAATAATTTTTTTTAGTTTTTGGGCTCATGGAAAGATCTAACCAACTCAAAGTGGACACTTAATTATTCTTGTGTAAGCTATATAAATATTTTAATAAAGTGTAACCAAACCAATGTGGCACTTGTGCATTTCATTTGAATTTAAGATTAAACCCCTCTATTTTGAGTGATTATATATATATATATATATATATATATATATATATATATATATATATATATATATATATATATATATATATATATATATATATATATATATATATATATATATATATATATATATATATATATATATATATATATATATATATATATATATATATATATATATATATATATATATATATATATATATATATATATATATATATATATATATATATATATATATATATATATATATATATATATATATATATATATATATATATATATATATATATATATATATATATATATATATATATATATATATATATATATATATATATATATATATATATAACGCTACACCAAAGAAAACAATTATCTAAATAAAAATAAGAAGAAAAATATTTAAGACAAAACAATTATCTCTAATGGAAATCAGTTCTATAGGAAACCAAAGAAAATTGCACCAGTCACATAATGAGCATCAAAGAAAATAAAATATATAGAATAAAAAAGTGAATTTCAATATTTATCTTTTTAATTAATGAAAGGGCTTCAATGTCTTCCTTCATTTTTTGAGCAAATCTGTTTTATTCCATTTACATTATATTATAACACCAATAAATATACATGTAAAATACCACTAAAAACTTCTACCAAAAAAAAGAAAGAAAAGAAAAACCACTAAAAACACATGACATTATTGTAAAATAACTCATTACATATAATTTAACAAGCTTAAAACCTCTCCTTATCTAACTAATATTTTAATAATTCTTCCTTAAGCTTTTCAATTATCTCATCCTTTTCATGTATAATCTCCAAGAGCCTAATATTCTCATTTTTAAGTAACTCAAATTGACAAACTATCCCTTCAATTTGAGCTTCAATGGCTTCATCACTTAACTCAAACACACTCTCCACAACTCTAATCACACGCCATAAACTAACCACAACCAACAAACCACCACCTCTCCTCTCCATAAAAACTTCCATAATCAATGCCCCGATCGCCACAACACCATCCACAACATATCCCGGATGCTTGAAAAATGAAAACCCTAACCCTACCAACAAACCGATTATCTTCATCGAAATAATACTCAAAATACCAATTCCAATCCAATGGAAACATAGTTCCTCTATTATGTTCACTTTTTGCTTACATGAAATTAGAGAAGAAGATAGCTCGAGAATTGTGATTATGAGATCTGTAACGAGTAATGATATTGAAATCGCGCGAATTATTGTTGATTCTAGAAAATTGACCAATTGTGTTCGCCATGTTGCTCTATTGAACAAATATTCTTGTTGGGTTGAGGTTGTAACAAGAAACAACCACCTTTGTCTTCTTTTCCATGATTTTATTAGACTTTGAATTGATGAATCTAATGTTTGCATAGAAAAATAATTTGTTGGGGCTTGTATTTGATTGGTTGTTGAGGATATATCAATGTTTTTTAAAGTTGTCATTGATGTTAGAAATGTTATAGATGCGAAATTTGGTGTGAGAATTGCTAGTTTTATGATTTTAATATATAATGTAATGTTGGTTATACTTGTGAAGTGCATGTAACTTTGAAGGTTTGCATACTTTAACTTTAGGGTCACGTTGAAAGGTACATTAATTAATTAATAAGTATGCTATATTATTTTCTTCCACATATATGAGAGACCAAATGAAACAAAATGTCAACTTAGGGGCAAAAGAATTGATATGGAATATTTATAATCTATTTGTTAGATTTTTGCCTCATTTATTATAAATTAAGAATTAATTTTTTTAAAAAAGTAATTTTAATATTTTTATTTATCAACTTAATTTTTATAAAAACTTATTTTGATCTTATTTGTTATAAATTACAATATTGCTTTATATTTTTGTCAAAGATTTTATTACAATAAAATTATGTATTTTTAAAAAATATATCTTATAAAAACATTTTTTTAATGAAAAAGATGTGTTTTTAATCTTCAAAAACATAAGTTTTATTTGAAGAAAACATACATTATTTTATGTGATTTATCATAAAACATTAGATAGTATATCCTCTTAGATTTGAGGGAAATACTGTGCACTTCTTTTTTCTAGATGGTGTCAAAGAACATTATTTTATGTGATTTATCATAAGTTTATCAAATTAGAAGTGTAAACAATGTTTTTCTAGATGGTGTCAAAGAAGATTTTTTTTTTTAATAAAGTAATGTGATGATTGCAACCCTAAATGTAAAGGTGATACGAGGATAAGACATATTTGTTTGGTTAATTTGGTCATTTTGGTCAAATAAAGGTGGAAGTTGATTTAAAATGTTTTTGTTATCTAGTGTAATATCCTAGATGCTATATATGGCATTGCAAATATCTTTTCTTTGATAAGGGTTGATCTTGGAAATTATGTTTTGCGCGCATTTGGTGGAAATGAATGTTTATTCTTATTTTCAAAGAAGATGATTCTTCAGATTGATTTGTAAAAGATATTAGTAATAAAGTAAGATTATGTTTCTTACTTCTTTCTGACCTAACCCATGAATTGAGTTCATACCCTTTAAGAATAGGTTTCCCATGATGCGTATCATCTTTGATCAACCAGAAAGGTCTGTGGGTGAGATAGGGTCGGTGAGAAGACGCGTAATTGGTTTGGAATATGAGGAGGACGTGATTTTTTTGTCTATAAGTAGTCCTTAGTTATCAATCATATTTCTATTCTCCGAAGAACAAATCTCACTCTAGATAGATATAGGTGGTGGCGCCATGCTAGGGATGAGATATTCTCGGTAGCTTATGCTTCTTCAATCAAATTTTAGGTAAATAAACATACTCTCTCTCTCTCTCTCTCTCTCTCTCTCTCTCTCTCTCTCTCTCTCTCTCTCTCTCTCTCTAAATTGAAGATTTGACTCTTCCCCTCATCTAAGTTTTTCGAGAGCTTTCTATTGTGATAGTTTTTTTTGGCAATTTTTGTAAGATATTATCAAACCTAGATAGAATCTGTATAATCATATGTTTATTGTTGACTCAACATGAGTTTCGTGTCTTGTGAGCATGAGGTTGTTTGAGTTTGTTTCCCATTTATTCATTTCTTGTGAGGTGGATTTTGTTTGACATGTGACTTCACACACAAGAGGGGTTTAATCATGTGCTTCAGAATAAATCTCACTCTAGATAGAGATAGGTGGTGGTGGTGCCATGCTAGTGATGAGATCTTCTCGGTTGGTGGTGGTGCCAGGCTAGTGATGAAATCTTCTTGGTGACTTATGCTTACTCAATCAAATTGTAGGTAAATAACCCTACTCTCTCTGTCTCTCTCTCCAAGGTAATGATTTGACTTTTCCCGTCATCTAAGTTAGTAGGGTGCCTTCTATTGGACATATGACTTCATACAAGAAAAAGGTGAATTTTATTTCAAAAAAAGTAAAGTTTGAATTATTTTTTGGATCAAAATCACAGTTTTTAAGCATTTTAGAAAAGTTTTAGAAATAAGCAACATGAAATAAAATTCAGAAAGTGAAATATGAAAAGTAAAAGTAAAGGTAGGAGAGAAAACACCATAAATTATGGAGGTTCGGTCAAAAAGAAAAAGACCTAATCATCCCTCAAAATTCTGTTCTTGAGAGTATATAAACTTAAGAGCTTTTAGTAGGTTGAACTCTCCTACCCCCTTATATAAGGAAAATGAAGTTTGTTTCTAACTTTAAACTAAATAACAAACACGAAGATAAGCAACAAGTCTTCCTTCCAAATGATGGAACATAACAATTAATATCCTTTAAACTAGAAACTTGGACCGGTTAATCTTCAAGCTTCAAACCAAGATTTTACACATGTTGATCTTGAACCTAGGTGAGCTTTTAACACTGGGCTAAGTTCATAAACTAAAACTTGGTTTTATGTCGATCTAACAAGAAACCTGTGAGATTTTGACACCGGGATAATCTCGAACCAAAGCAAGCTTTTAACACTTGGCTGAACTTGAACCAAAACTTGGTTTTATGTTGGGCTAACCATGAACCTGTGAGATTTTAACATCGGGCTGGTCTCGAACCTATGAAAGCTTTTGAATGGACAGAGCCTTCAAACCAACCTGATGACTTAGTAACTAAATCCCCAAAACCAAGCTATTAATGGGTTTAGCATTTAACCCCAACAAACAATCCTTGAATGGATAAATTGTTCAACCAAAGTAAAAACAAAGCTTCCTTGGTGAACTTACAAATCTACCCTTCCAGAATTACAAATTCCTCACTTACAAAACAACTTTCTCGAAAGTGCTACGTCTAAAATTTAGTGATAGGGAGTAAAGAGTTTTTTTAGAAACATAGTGAGGAGTAAGGAATAAAAGCTCATGTTTCTGGATATAAAAATATGTGGGAAGGGACCTCTATTTATAGGCTAAAGGTTGGCATAAAAAAGAAAATTTTTGTGGCCAATAGTCATGAACCAATGGATTGACAGAATGCTCCAATCAATTGGTTGGCCTAAAAAAATCTATTAATAAGTTTTAAAAGGAAAGAAAAAATATATACTAGGTGTTTATTATTAATATGATGTTTCAATCACTCAGGGCACATTTTTGCATTAACCCAATTGATTGGGTGAAGTGCCAATCGATTGTCAAAAGTAGAAATTTCCCCATAGCTTTTTTCACAGATCTAACTCATCTCGTATAACTTCAAGGAATTTTTAGAAGTATTTTATTGAGAAAAATAAGTTTCTAAACTTGTTTATGTGTGTGTGTGTGTGTGTGTGTGTGTATGTGTGTGTGTATGTTTGTGTGATTACCCGTATACTTTACGAGACAATATAATAAGGCTCTTGGTTTGCCAAGGATTAGGATCTTACGACCATATTGCCCGTCTGTATGACTGTGACTCTTGTTGTTGCTCCTACTCCTTCTCCAGAGGTTTGAGTACCAATTATAGTGAAGAATCTGGTGGTAGTGGAGACTACTCTCTCAGATACAAATCCTGAGGTGGAATGACTGACTACTGTAGCGTCCAGTTTTTCTATTCACGAGTCTTCATAGTCTCCCTCTCATGTTAAGAGAACTCGGGGTGACAACCCGTTGACTCCTTTTGAAGAAGCTTCTTATAAGATTGCTCACTTATTATAGATTTCCGAACATGAGGCTCTTAATCATTTCTCATGACTTCCTACAATTTTTCCATCCTAGATTTCTAGCTCCCAGAGGAATTTGGTGTTGTTGTGACTAATGTGGACTCGAACTTTGTTCGAGGCCTATTGAAAACTGACTAGCTGACTCTGTTTGCAAGTGTTTCCCATACACTATTCAGAGCTAATCCTTGGTCTCGATAGTAGCTGATGGCCAATACGATATGCTAGGCTCCAGAGACCTTACGAGGTAACAAGATAAACTGAAGGAGAAATGTGAGGCCCTTAAACGGGGAATTGCCGATGCCGAAAAGGAGTTGCTTTTCATGTGAGTGAAAATTAGGTCTGTTAACTCTTTGCTGGAAGAGGTAGATCGGTATGATCGTACTCTACTTTGGGTGCTCAGATAAAGAAGTTGACGATTTATTTGGCCGATGGAGAGGAGTTTCAGAAGACAACTTACGAGGAAGTGGCTGAGGCATACAAAATGTTCGAAGCGGATCAAAAAGTTCTTCAAAAAAAGAAGGATGATCAGATTAATGATCTAAAAGGTCGAGAGGAGGAGGTGGATGTTGCACGATACAGATCTTAGGAATCCTTTCAACAAGATGTGCACACCGTGTGTAGGGTCACCAATGATCAGCTGAATCCTTTCCTGGAGGTTCTTAGAGAGGATGCCAGAGGTGGTCTAAGCGTTTTGGAGTCGGGTGCTGACACTTGAAGGCCTTTTGTTTTCATTCTTATTTTTATTTGCTCTTGTAAGATTTTGGTTGGGCATACGAGCCTTGTTTTGTAAACAACATTTAATGTTATTTAAATTTTTACCTTTCGCGTGCTTGTGATTTTTAATTTTCTATTGTTCTCTTTTTTACCATTGTTATCGCCAGCTACGCATAAATGCAAGTTTTTCTTTGACATAGGTATTTGAATGATGCACTCGAACGTACAAAGCACCTAAGATAGCACCCATGGAATTGATTAAAGTAGTCGGACCATGGGTCGAACGGGCAAGGCGTCTCTTATAGAACCCTTGGAATCATTAGGTTCTCAAGACACTAAGGGGTTTTGATTAATTTGGTTGGACGGGTAAAGCATCTCCGACAATACCCCTGTAATCTGAAGTCAGATGTCAACATCATTAGTTGTATCCTAATTTGCTACGACATGCATTTAGGTTTTGGTACCCTAAAGAAGGGATAAGATAGAAAACAAAACAACAAGAGTATAATAACATAGCGCGTGCGTGTGTGCATATATATATATATATATATATATATATATATATATATATATATATATATATATATATATATATATATATATATATATATATATATATATATATATATATATATAATATGAATGA